TAACAGAAAATTACATGAACATGTCGCCTGCATAATCGGAACTGATCGATCGCTCACTTGCGGATGTTATTCTCCAGTCTAGCCATGAAGATATCTGCGATAAAGTGAACCAAAGGTGGATACCATTGCTATCTCATCAATTTTGCGATTAATTTCGTCGTTCAATTTTAATTGTATTTTGTATGTGTGCAAAGCATAATAATTGTTGAAGATCACCAACTGGTATCCTAACTTCACAGTTATTGCTTAGTATGTAGTCACATATGTGTTCCACAATTTCAGTACTGAAAAACGTTTTTCAAGCGAGTTCATGCATGATCCGTTTACGTTTGAGTCTTTAATTCTGACCACCAAATCAAACGAATCCTTTAATGTGTGATTGACGAGTTTTGCTTTCACGGGTTCGAGAACAGCCGGAATCATATATTTGCATATGACCGATTTGGATGCGTTGGTGAGATCATCCCTGGCATAAAGATCATGTGAACAGCTTTAAAATCACCTAAGTGTTTTTACGTCGTGACTAGTCGCTTATCGTTGATCGTTCCTTATTTATTTTACACGAGTGTTGCATTCAAGAAGTCATTCTTGCGCGTGACACAGGTTTCTTCACTTCGTTGCGTCGTTCGATCAGTTCTCCCTTTTTTGCAATCGAATTGTGCAATTTTTTTCGTCACTAGTAACTTGAACCCAACTTGAATTTTGCTGAATCCTATTTCATTATCCCCTTCTGTCTCTGTCTGTCGACTGATTATAGCCACCACCTCCGGGCTATGCGCCCAATCCGGCACAACAACTGTCCCAGGCCGGTTTCAATGTTCAAGTTCCACAGGGCCAGTACGCGAGAGATCCAGGATGGACTTTGTGGTAGGTAGACACGTTCGCATGGATTCGTTTGAAGGACCCGGTCAGGCCGCGAGAGATCGTTACTCATTTTTATCCTGTGCTAGAGTGCCGGTCTGGGACGCTTGACACGCATTCTCATTCGTGAATAGTGAACTACATTTTTTGTGTCTCTGGGATTCATTTGCCTATCTGTCTCTATATCTATTTACAAACAGACTTTTTGGATGCACTTTCTTCTTAACATTTTCTCGTTGTTTTAAATTACTAACCATCATTTGTCTTTTATTCGATCTCAGATTAAAATTGTGCTTGTCATTTTATTACGAGTTTTTCTATATCCTAATTTTATTATTTGGTGTTACCATGGTGATGGCCTTTAGTTGATGTGTTATCAATTTGTTGTTGGCGGTGTTGTTGTTGGTGCAGTGGTTTAGTCGCTGTCACCGGTGTGTTTTGCACCCTATGATCCGAGGTTTGAGCCCCACCACGGCCATCTAACTTTAGTGATAGGCACCTTTGATATCATCCGGTTCAGTACCACACCCGTGCTAGCGGGGCCTTATGTGATTCGCCATTCCAAGTATCCCGCAGGGCCTGGGTTACCGATTTCCGTGACTGAACAGCAGGTCTTCGTGACAATGGGGTGTATCCCGTCTGCTGTTCCTTATACACAAGTGTGTCAAAAGAAAATACTACTGAGCTTTACTACTATCAATGGTGTTTATCAGAGTTGTACTGTTCCAAATGTGTGTGTCTGAATTTCTTTCAGATCATACTGCGGATTGAGTTTCCCGGTAAAACTTTAACTATTTCAATCAACAACGGACCTATACTGGATCTGTTTTTTGTACCTTCAAAGTGCAAAATGTCATTGTAAAATTAGTTATATATTGCATTGTCAATCGCACAAGATTCCTCAGTGTGACTAGTTGTTTATTGGTAATTAATGGTTTGCACAGGATAGGATGGAGTAGATGGGAAGTATAGTTATTATGCTATGAGCAGTATCAAAGTGAAGATAGAGGCTACAGATAGACTAAGGTTGCAACAATATTGAGTAGGTGCACGAACGCCACCTTTTACGATACTCAACCATAGCACTCACTCGAATACACTAATCTCCCATCCGGAAAACCTGACGCGACCTCTGTGGACCGAGTTCTCTCATCAGTGCTTTCATATCTACATACTACTCCCTAATTCGACCTCTGCCATCCACTGCTTGGTTCGGTAAGCACCGCTTGCCAAGGTAATGAAATTTGGTGGCAGACATCTCGGCGGTCGTCCGGCTCACAAGTAACCTAACGGGGCTTTATGGTGGTTCGCCACTTCGGCGCTAAGTTTACCGGTTTCCATGATTGAATAGCAGGTCCTCGTGACTGCGGGGTTTACCCCGTCCGCTATTCATCAGGTGCCATGCTTTAGTCAACGTAATCTGTGGAGGTCGACTACTCGTTCCAGAACGCGACCGTATACCACAATCCACAGCTAATACTGAGCTGGGGCTCAAATACTAGCACGAATGAAATAAAGAGCCAAATTTTCTTGATGCCTCAGGCTTCGCTACTCCCCAAAGTAGACACGAAAGCATTGTTGCATGTCCTTCGACGTGCTTCCTCGATGACACAAGACTAAGCGGATGATGGATGCGCATCGGGCTAAGGAGAATGATTGAANATTGAAATCCTTGACATACCCTAATGTTGCAGTACGTTTTCGAGGTTAGCGATCACATACACACCCGATTCGTGAGCGGTATTTGTTTTTCATTCCACTTTTTAAATGAATATACGATGATACAATTTTCAGGAATGGGGAAGCGGTCAATCGAATAGCCGTCATACAGCACAAAATGGGTAAAGTCCGACGGTGGAGGTGGGTTCCGAACAATTTACTACCAGACCACCATTGACCATTTTTAACCGGAGCATGTGTTATTGATTGAACGTTCCATAGAACTGTCCATTTCTGTGCTCCAAGCTCCAGCTGACAATTAAAATTCAGTGTTTTAGAGGAATCAACGAACTCGGAGATATTTCTTCAACGAACCCCAGCGCTTCACTAAAATTCACTAAGTTTTCGGTTCATCTGGTCCTGATGTGTGCATGAGTAAATCGAACCCTAGGGAGAACCAAAGCGCGGTTCTATTAAAGCCGAAAGTAACGATGAAATGAATTTAGAAAAGCACAGTTGTACCATGACAATGTACTCACGGAGAATAAAGTAATAAAGTACGTATTGAGGTCATTCAAGAACAAAGGTAAGATAGGCCGCAAAATGATCAGATGCACGAGACAAGTCCCACTGTATACAGCAAAACTAACCGGTACACGTTTTTAAGAAGGCCTTCCGAGATAGTGAGTCAAAGAAATTGTCCATCAGAGAACCTTGAAAGGCTGAGATCCATGATTGTCACCACAGATTTTTCGATGTTTCTCGATCAGAACCCTTCTGTCCTCTGTGAACATGTTACGGACTACCTTAATTTCCGTTTTAACCAGTCGAACCGTCTTCCATCCATAAAGACAGATACTCATCACCGCTACTCGGGCAGCTACGCAGGCGGAAAAATACAGGTCTATAAACAAGGATAAAGAATCCATGTCCAGCGGCTTACAATTTTGATCAAAGTTGAAATAAATCGGTTAAACGAATTGTACATCAACACTATCCTGATAAACTCTAGTTGTCGTGGCATGTGGAGGGCTATCAACTGACTGTGTGGCAGCAGCAATGAACACGAAAATGAAACTTTTGACGTTGAAAGACTAAATTCCTTGTTTAGTCCAGTTTCATAGTGCCCTGCCAGACTTAGTCAGCTCTAGGCCAACACTAACTATCGAACCGGCCACAGTCCTTCAACAGCTACTGAAAACAAATAGAGCATCGGGTCCGGATGAACTATCACCCGTAGCACTCAATGTATGTGCGGACACTTTCAACTCCATTGTCTAAAATATTCAATGGCTGTCTGATAAGCGCAAAAACCCCTGATATTGGGAGACTGGCCAAGATAACTCCCGTTCCAAAAAAGGAACCTGGGAAGTATCGTCCCATCGCCTGCTTGTTATTCATACTCAAATTATTTGAGAGATGCTTGTTACCGTGGGTGAGTCTGTGGAAGACGACTTACATTAATTTGCATATCGTTCTTCGCGCTCAACACTTGATGCCGTTGAATACCTTGTTCATTCAATAATTTCAGCACTAGTTAAGAAAAGTAAGACCGCCAGAATGGTGTTCTTAGACTACAAAAACGCTTCCGGAAGTCTTGATCAATCGGTATCGCTCAACCTGATTACCGAAAGTGGTGTTAATCCAATCTGTGATTATTTCACAAATAGAAGGCAGTTTACGTGCCTCAACCGCAGAATATCCCCCACTCACCCAGTTGCTTCTGGTGTTCTGCAAGGTGCAATATTTTCCCCATTTTTCCTTTTAATGTATGCCAAGCACTTTCCCATTCCTCCTGCACTCATNACTCATTGGCTGTAAATACGTAGATGACGTTTTAGATTGCAAATCACCCACCCCTGAAGAGGCTGTAGATATTCAAAGCAACCTAAACGACGTTGTTACTTGGTTTTTGTCCCGTTCTCTCTCTCATTGAATGCCTCTAAATGTCAGGATGCTGTGTTTTCCCTCTTGGTCGATGTACC